CTTATATTCTGTTTTCAGAGTACCTTCAGCCTTTCCAGGAAATCTTGAGGGAGGGACATATCCAGGTACTAAGCAGCCTCTAAAATGAGATACCACCTTGATTAATGCAGATGCTGAAGACTAAAAAAGGATGAGAAGGAAACAAGGGCAGATGACAGCGAGTGGTGTGCCTGAGGTCCTGCAGTTGCTCAGTGATGTTTTAGCATCATAACCCAGCTCACCCTATTTCTGATCCCCTCAACAAGTCCCTGGTGAAATCTGTCGGTCCTGGCGCAGGGAACTGCTCACTGGTGGACCATGGGAACAAGGCTTATCAGAAACCTTGTCTTGCCGTAACAGTGATTGCGTTGGGCCGCTTCTAAATGAGCCTGAAGAAGATGAAAAGAGGAGCAGGAGGATGCTGTTGGCAAGTATAAGTGCAGTTAATGGTCTGCACTTGGCAAGGCTCGGGCTACTTTTCGGCAAAGTGGTAGTGTCTGGTGAACGTACGCCCAGAGCTATAAGGGGTTCCTGGTTATTCTGTGGTGATGACCCTGGCAAAGATCAGTGTCCAGGCTGCTCTTTGTATACAATCTCTAGCATGAAGACTTGAATACAGTGAATAGCTGTGGGCTGAGGGAAGATGGAGAAGCTTAACCTGCCCCTAAATACGATCAGTCCTGGTGATCTCCATCTCTCCTTGCTTAGGGATGAGTCCATGGTGTCATGGGAAGGCAGAGGCTGGTTGACCTGGCTGGGGAAAGCCCTGGGATCTGCAGTGGTGGGAGTGAAAGAGAGGGGATTAAAGGCTAAATTTAGCTGAGTACAGTAGGAGTTGATTTAACAGATCAATGCATTTAACAGTTTGATTGCACCAATTTTCAAGGCTATTGAGCTTGAAAGTGAGAGTGCTCTGGGGGAAAAATAGCTGTGTTTGTGTTTTTGTTTTGGTTTTTGTGTCTTTGAAATTACAATGTTCACTCTTTTAAGTTTTACTTTAATGTCATCCTGCCTTTTGTGGAGAAGTTGTTTGTCACAAGACGTGGTCAGTGTTTTACACTCTTTCTCAAAAAAAAAAAAGTTATTAAAGATAGGCTGGTGTGGCAGCCTGTCTTGTAGAGATGCTGCTGGACCAGCAGCACTCTCAGGTGTGCGAGAGCGTTGCCTGCCCCCAGGGATGATCGGGGGCCAACTGACAGCCTCTTCCTTGTTTGACATTAATCCTTTCACGATTGAAAAGAGAGGAAAATATACCTAAGCTCTGTGTCACCTCTGAAGAGAGTGTTCGTGGCATCACATGTGCATCTAAAAGCGGGCTGGCAGCGGAGTGGGATGGGCTCGGGAGCTGCTCCTGGTCCGAGGGTGAGGCCTGGCCTGGGCAGGTTGCTGGGTATGATGCTCCTGGATCAATCTGCTTCTCGGGTCAGTCCTGATGCCTTGACAGTGCTGTCGGTGCCCCTAAAGCTGTGGGGTTTGGGACAGCCCTGCAAGTCATTTGACTGTTTAGGCTGGGATCAAAACTGCCCTCCCTGGGAGTGGAGGGCTGCTCGGTGTTTTTTCAACAGTAGATCCAGCTCAGCAGAAAGTTTACCTGCAAACCAGGCTACGCTGAACTGTTTTCTCAGCAATCGCCCCCCTGTTGAAGGTTATGTGTTTGTCCTAACATCCAGTCTGCTGATAAAGGTCCTACCTGCGCTCCCAAAGCCGCAGTGCTGAATGACCCAGTTATGATGCATTAGCCTCTTCACGAGTCCCTTGGACGTGATTAAATCGGCCTCTTTCTCTACAGAGGATCCACTTGGGTTTCTGAGATTTGCTGCTCCTGTTGTGTGTGTTTGTAGTGCTGCAGGTCTGCTCGGGACGGCGGAAAATATGAGGAGCAGCCTACGGGAATGGAGCAGATGAGTGGAGATGGGGCTGGGGCAAGGACGAGGCTTGTACCCTGGTCAGGGAAGGATAATGGGGTGTTTTATAGAGGGTTCCAGCAAAGTTGGCAGCATGTGTCTGCATTGGTCCTTGCTGGCTGGGTCCACTGGCCATGTGTAGAAGAATCCAATGCCTACTTGATGCCATCCCTTTGTGGGCTGTCTTGCGTGGCAGGCGGTGGTGCCAGTGCTCCAGGCAAGTCATCCTGCCTCGTCTACACCCTGCTCTGCCGCCTGCATGGCCATGCCGCAATGAATCTGGCTCCTCACGGATCGGTGTGCGGGTTGGTTCCGAGCTCTCTGGCTCTCAAAGGTGTTGGGGGTCTGGGTGTCCCCCTGGGAGCTGCCCCGCAAAGGGACCCAGGAGGGGAGGAATTGGGACGGGGAATATGTTCCCATGGGAGCTGGACGGGAGACACCATGTCCAGCACGCGGGGATGGGCTTTCCAGCCTCCTGGGGGTTGCTCCTGGTGTATTCCACCCTCCTTCCTCCCAGACAACACCCCGAAACTTGAGGCAGTTATTTTCCATCACTTTTACCACCTCCTCCTCCCCGCCCCAGCCTCAATCACCAAGGAGCAATAACAAAGAGCCTGGACCTGCCTTTTCCCAAGCACATCAGCCAAGGGGTGCTCCAGGGGTGCTACAACCCCCCGCCTGCCCCACATCGCAGCCTGCCGGGAGCCCCTTTCCTCCCGGCGGGTGAGGGGGGTGATGGCATCACCCCCCCAGCACGGAGCTGCCCATCAAGGAGCCCCCCGGGTGCACGGGCTGAGCCCAGCTCTGTCCCACCTGCCAAGTAAGCTCTGTGGGAAGCACTGGCTTTTACTTTTAAATAAGTTATACAGAGGGTTATTGCACTTCAATCAAAGCCTCGTTATATGTGGGGTTTTGTCGTGTTGCTCTGACCCTGTTCCTTGCCTGGGCTTGAGAGCAGGAGCCCAGGCATCCTCCCCAGCCCCAGAATCGCTCAGCAGGTTTCTTTTCCCTTCCCACAACAGACGGTGCCGCTTTTCCCTGCATCGTGGCAAAGCCAGGGATTTACCGGCCCTCGCTAACCCAGCATTGCTCAAAACTCTTTCCCCTTCCTCCCTCCCATCCCTCCCCCCAACTCCAGCGCAGGGTAAAATTGATCAGTGCATATTTATTGACGGTTTGAACACTCAAAAGAAAGGGAAAAGAAAAAAAAAAAAGATGTTGCCATAGAAACATCGATAAAGCTCCCGTCTCCACGATGCGAGCGCTGCGCCTGCGTCCCCCGAACCGGCGGCCTTTGGTGGGGTGGGAGTCGAGATGGATGGGAGGTGGGTTTGGGGGTGCCCGGGGTTGGGGGCTGCATGGGCTCAGCCACCCCGAGTGCCACCGGGTTTGTCGGTCGCTGCTGTAGTCCCTGCGGTGCAAGATGATTACCGCAGCAGAGATGCAGGGGAAGGAAAATGCCCTTCGTCTCCTTCGCCTTCGCAGCCGGCGCTGTCCTCATGCGAGGGCCAAACCTTGGCATCGTCTGTATCCCTGCAAATCTGGAGTTCCTCCGTTTCTGCACCCATGAGGCTGTGACCCACGTGTAGCTCCCCGGAGGAGCCTGCTCCTGTGCCTCCATCGCTCCTCCCTAGACCTGGCTGCCCCACGGCTGGTGTTTTCCTGCGGGTTCCAGCTCCGTTCAGCCTTTGCTTGCACACCGCTCCTGCTGCGAGAGTAACTCACGCCAGCCCTGGCAGCCCCGTATTAAGTGGTCTGTCTGCTTGATGGATATTACAATGCACCTCTCGGAGCCCGATTCCCCCCCTCCCCGCCCCAAGTCCCGCCACGGTCTTTGATTTTGAGGGCGCAATTTAGCGCTTGCAAATCATTGCCCTGCTTCATTTTTGTGCCTGCAATGAAATATTAACAGTCATTAGGTGTCTAACTTGCCGTTAGTGCCTGCAAGCCAGGTAGTTAGACCTCTGATTACTAATACCTTTGCCTGCAGTGGCAGGCACAAAAGCAAATGTCATTGGCATCGGCAGAACTAAATCTACCCAAAGGAGAAGGCAATTGCTGTAGAATGGGGCTTGTCCTTCGCAGCCGTGGCTGTGCTGGCTTTTGGGGCTAGCGATTCTCCCGAGCTGCACCGTTGGCAGCGGAGGGGACTGGAGAGCAGAAAGACACCAAGCACCCGTTGGTGGTCCCGGGTAGGTGCAGGGGTCCTTGTTTCAGCCCTTCTGCACCCAAGTTTCTGCAGCAGCTACAGCTGGGAATAGGTGGAGATGAGGCCAGGAGGGGGTTAGGAAGGGGCAGGCTTTCAGGCAAGTGCTGGGGCGATGTGATGAGGATGCTGAAGGTCGGTTGTTGCCGTCTCACCCTGGTGAGGGCTACGACAGCACCCGAGGTCGGGGTGTGAGCGGGGCGGTGGGACTGCAGCAGCACTGGTGATGCCAGGGCAGGTTTCCATGCTCACGCCAGGGATTTCTAAGGACAAAATTTTCTTGAAGCCTGCTGCTCTGGCCTGGTTTGCACGCAGGAGCCGGCTCTTTTAAGTGGCATCTTGACACTAAGCAGAATTTGCTGCCGGAGGGACTTTTTCTTAATAGGCAGGAGAGCAGCAACTCTGTGACTCTGCGGAGAGCTCTGAGGGACCTGCTCCTCCCCGACAGCCCTGCCCTGGCTGGCAGCTACAGGCAAGCCCCAGGGGACTGTCACCACCAGGACTATCCCTCTGTAACCCTTCAGCCCCCCTGCCTCCAGCCTCGACCCCTGGACTTGCCAGCTCTGCCAGTCCTGCTGTGGCATCCCTGCTCTCCGCCTGCACTGTGGCGCTGGAAACCCAGCGCAGGGTCCTTTCCCTGTGCCCCAGCAAAGGCCACGCGTGACCGGGGAAGGGACACAGTAGCTTCTTTTTAAGGCACCCTCCTCTTCTTCCATTGCACCGGCTGGAAACAGGGACGTGAGATCTGGAGCAGGGCTGCAAGTGGAGCGAATGCGGCGTCCCCCCTCCCCAAGGTGATCCCAGCAGCAACCCCCCCCCCGATACCCTTTTGTCCGAGCAAACGTAGGTGAGATGGAAGGGAAGGACGGGACGGGGTGACCCGCAGGAGTTGGGGGGTCGCGTCTGGGCCCTCACCTCCCAAAGCGGAATGTGAAGCCCCCTTTTTTCCTGTTGTAGCCATTGAGCTCCTCTGCCAGGTTCCCCAGCGTGCCGCTGCGCTTCTCCCCTCCCGCCGGCAGCAGCTCAGAGCCCCCTTGCCTGCCCGGCCGCTGCCCGGTCCCCTCCTTGCCGTAGCCCCGCAGCTCCCGGACGATGCCCAGCAGCGTGCTCGGCTCCTCGCTTCGCCTCCGCTTTGCTCCTGCCCTCCAGCCGGCACCCAAGTCCTCAAACGCCGCTTGCCAGCTGGGCTTGAGCGGGGTCCCTTCCCCGGGGTCTCCCGGCTCCTGCAGCTCGGTGGGAGGGAAGCAGGCACCCAGACTCAGGAGAAAGAGGCAGGACAGCGAGTAGGGTGCTTTCATCTGGGGGAAGCGCAGGAAGGGAAAGACATGTCAGTAAACCACAGAGCATCCTCGGGCAGCGGCTAAAGCAGCAGCAAGGGCTGCCCTCGGCTAGCACGTGTTCCCCATCCCTGCTGCAGCACCCGCAAACCAGCCCTGCCACCCCTACACCCTGCAAGAAAACCCCTCCAGCACCCACCACTCCTCCCGCAGCCTCCGCACCAGCACCGGGCTGCAGTGGGGATGCTGGGGGGGGGGTTGTCTGAGCTCCTTCTACCTCGCCGCTGCCTCCATCAGACCCGCTCCCCTTCATCTTTAGCAGCTCTGTGCTCACAAATTATAGCTACTCCCCTGGTTTGCAGCCAAGAGCCAGGCTTTGCTTGGATGGGGCTGGCTGAGTGGGCTATTAGCCGGGAAAGCTGATGGGCTCCGGAGCCGCCTGCTCCTCTTAGAGGCACTGCGGGGAGGACTTAAGTGCATTCACCTGAGCCGGCCTTATCTTCCCAATGCGCAGGTCCTACCTGCAGTGCCTGGCTAATGCGAGCGCAGAGGAAGGTGCTCGACATCCCTCTGCTTTATGGGGCTCGGAGGTGCCCCGCCGACAGCAGGGTCTGCTGAGCAAGAGCGGGAGGGAGCGTGGTCCTGGACCGCGCGCAGCAATGCCGCAGGCACCCAGGGTGACCTTGAGCGCGGGCAGGGCTGCTCTGCCTCCCCTTCGTCCTCCCACAAAGGCTCAGAAAGGGGAAATGGATTTTTTTATTATTATTTTTATTATTTTCTCCTGCCTTTAAGTCGTTGCCTTTAAAGTCATTGCAGGCGATGGGGGCCAGGGTGTCTGCTCCGTGCTTGCAGGGTGGGGGGGCTGCTGTGGGTGCTCCTTGCTCCTGCACTGGACCTAGCTGAGCCCAAGCCCCCGCCTGTCCTCCCCAGCAACCCCCCACCCGTGGGCTTCGCTTTGGGGTGCTCCCTGCCTCGTTCGCACCTTGCCGCTGTTCCGCTCTCTCCCCTTTCGCACCCAGTTGCCCATCATGGAGCCAAATCACTGGATGCGGCCAGAGCGGGGAGCACCTTCCCAGCCCCAGCGATCGGTGCTGCTGAGTCCCGTTTTGGGGTCTGGGGGTGCTGGTGGGTGCCCTGCCTGCTGCCCCCAGCTGCCTCCCACCAGCCCTTGCCTCCTCGCTGCCTGTCGAGGCAGGGTGCAAAGCAGGCACCCAGGGGAAGACGGACAGACAGACGGCCGCCAGCAACTCACCTCTCCGCCTCGGGTGATGCCCCAGTGCTGCCCGTCCTGGACCTGCTCCGTGCCGCCCCGAGCCCGTGCCCGGACTGAGCCGACCAGCTCGCCTCACCCGCCGTTAAATACCCACCGGTGCTAATTGCCGTGTCACCCCTCGAGCGCGTGGCCGGCTCGCAGGGCTATGGCCGCACAGAGCAGAAGCTGGGATTCTGGCGGGGAGGGGGCTGGAGAGGGGGATGGGGGCTGGCCGAGCCACCACAATGGGAGCACGGCACCACCGCTGATTAACGAGCCTCCTTCGTTTGCTGCCTCATTTGGAGGAGAGGTTGGGTGCGTGCCGTGCTGGAGCTGGCCTTGAGTCACCGGCAGCTGGTGGGAGGGAGGGTCTCGTCGGGGGGCACAAGTGTCCCCCACCCCCTCGGCTGGTGCAGACTCATGTGTGGCTGTTGGGGGTCCCAGATATATGTACAAGCATGGTGGGTGCCCAGGCACCGGCAGAGACCCCTGCACCCCCAAACCCCGCTCAGGGACTGGCCCTGCACGCACAAGCCTGAGTGTTTCCCCCATCCTTGGCCAGTGCGCGCAGCCACTGGTGCTAAAACGTGGTCCCCCACGCCTGGCACCCAGCCGTCCCCTCCCGGCTCCATCCTGGCCTGGGGCAGAGCGGGACGTGGGGTGGGCAGCACCCCGCTGCTCACCAGGGGCTGGGGGCATTGCTCGATGCTCTGCCCATCGGCGCAGGCAGTGGAGAGCGGGTCCCCTCGGTGCTTAGACCTGCCACCACCCTCTGTCCTGGCCCCCGGGGCCACCCCGAGGTGCCTGGGTTTGGGCTGGAGCCCCAGGAAACTTTCGCTGCCCCATCCCTGCCCCGTCGGGTCTCCCCAGCCCTCCCCGGCAGTTTTGCGGAGCGGTTTGGGCAGGACAAGGCCACGATGGGCCGGTTCCCGGGGATGCAAGGAAGGAGCCGTCACCCGTCCCTGCGGTGATCCGCCGCCGCTCCCTTTGCCGTCCCCGCGGCAGGTTCCTCCGGCGACGTCTCCGCGCCATGGGCACGGCTGCCGACACGCCAGCTAACGATGAGTTCCTTTTATTAAGGAGTTTAGAAAGTCCACATGTACAGCGTTGGACACCACTCACACACGACCTAGACTTCACGGCACTGCTACACACCACGACCCGGCCCGGGGCTTCGTCGAGAAGGTACGTGGCCAGGTCCCAGACCCCCCGGCCACCCCTGCCCACCATTCTCCGGGGAGGTGTCACCACGGACGGGTTTAGCCTAATCCGGGGCTGCGGAGTAACGCGTGCGCTCTCAGGAATAATCCTGGGAAATCCTGCGTCTCGGCATGGATTAAATACCTCTCGTGCAAGTCAAAACAAAGTCGTTAGGGAGTCCTGGGTAACACAGGCAGTTACACAAGGGTGTGCTACTGACAAACTGCACGTACAACATCCCTTCCCCGGCACAGAAAAACACCGGTGGAGGGGTCCAGGGAGGGGACGAGCCTTCCCGCCCGGGGCACACGGCTCCGTGTGCCTTCTTGTCCCGAAGGCAAGTGCTAGAAAACCCAGCTACAGCTAATCCACTGAAATAAATGAACAAAAAGTAAAGGTGGGCGTTGTCCTCCCCGCCTGCGTGGGACCCTTTCCGGAGGGGTCCGGCGGGGCGCAGGAAGCCCCTTGAAAGCTGCTGGGGGCTTCTGTTCTTGTGCTGGCTGGGAAATGCGACCGCCGAGCTCCCCCAAATCCCGTCGTTCAAGAAAGCCCGCCTGGCCACCTGCTCCAGGCAGGGATGGAGCAGGGAGAGCTGATGCCTGCGCTCGGAGCTCGTCCTCACCCAAAGGCTCCAAGGAATGTCTCTGGCAGAGGGGAAAGCTGCAGTGATCCCCAGTGCATCGTGTGTCCCCATTTCCCTGGCAGGACAGACAGATGGGGACCTCCGGCAGGCAACAGGGCTCATCCAGTACAGGATCCGAGGTGGCGAAGGATTAAAAAAAAAAGAGAAGCATGTAGGGAAATACAAATCTGCCACAGCCGGGAAGATGAGCCTTTGATCTTCCCATGCTTTAAACCCCCCCTGGAAACGGGGATGGTGGGAGCTTTCCTCCCCTCCTCGGGCAGTCTGTCCGTCCGACGGTGTGGCGTGGGGGGGTCTGCTCCCTATTGCTGCTGCGGCACAGGCAGAATATCATGTAAAGGGTGGCAGGGTCCCGGCTGTCCCCCCCTCCCCATTCCTACACAGCCCACTCAAGCTTGGTTTTGGTGGTTTTTTTCAGACGAAAGCCCCCATTTGAGTCCTTCCAGGGAGCCAGAGAGAGAAGTCAGCCCCACACCCCGTGGCAGCTCCTCCTTGGGTCGGCCAGCACGAGGCATCGCCTGCCGCCCGGTTATCAGGGCCCTGCAGATGCTAAGCCCCACTCAGGGCTTCTTTTTGCAAAACCTTAATGGGATTTGAAGAAATGAAAGGCTTTGAATATCTGCAGGTGCTGAGCCAGAGCGCGGCTCATCCTGGGTGAAAATGAATGCGGGTCCCCAGGCCGGGAGCGAGCGGTGGGGGCTCACACGGGGGCACATGGGTGTACTCTCCGAAGCGAAGGGTTTTGGGAAAGGTCACAGCTTTTGGATGGTGAAAGTCCGATGTGAATCCGAGTGGACCTGGTTGGGAGGGAGGAACTGTGAAATGCAGGCAGAGCCGTGCTGGGAAGCGAGCCTTCCTCGCCTCTTCCTCCTCCTTGCTGTGCTCCCCGTTTCCCCAGCGCTGCCAAAACAGCTCCATGCCGTACTCAGTTCTGGGTGAGCGTCCTTGCAGCACCGTGCCGGCTTGCTTTGGGGTGTCCCGACCCACTGGCAAGGCTCCAGGAGCCAGGACAGGGACTATGGGGACAAAGGAGTTTGTAGTTGTCCCTTTCCAGCTGCACTGCTCTTGCGGGGGGAGAGGTGAGCATTTTGCAGACCGGAGAAGGAATCACTGGCACGGTCAGACATCTGCGCAGGCTGCAACTCAGCCGAGCCCTCCCCGTTCCCAGTAGCACCATGGGGTGAGCTGGAACTGTGGAGCAGCAGCCTCGTCCCAGTCCTGGCGGTTTTGTGGGGCTCGGGGCTCCCCACGGCGAATGTCCCCTAGTCCCTTGCCAGCTTGGCGAGGCCACTGCTGGGCGTCTGTGCCCGAAGCGGAGATGAGCAGAGGTGCCCAGCCTGCTTGGGCTGCTGCATCCCTTCCTCCCGCCTGCCCTCCCTCCCTCCAGGCAGCCCCTTCTTTTCCTTGCTGGACCCCGCTGGGCACCGCTCCCCAAATCCCCGCATCCCGCTGCCCTCTCTGCCGCAGCCATGAGCACCGGCCGCGGGTCACGCTCCGGCCAGGAGACCTGTTTTGGCTGCAGGGGAGCCGTGGCGGTAGGAAGCAAAGGTCCGGTGATGTCCACGGGTGCCCGGGAGCTAAAGCCACCCTTGCCAGGGGCAGGTGCTCCCCAGGGGTCCCTCGAAGATGGGCCAGCCCTTGGGGAGGATGGGGAGGATGGCAGCAGGGAGAACGGGGCTGCGGGGTGGGGGGGACGGGCATGGGGCTGGGTACGGGGTAGGGGGGCTCATGCCATCCAGCTAATTCTCCTCCCGGACGGGCCGGATCTTCATCTCAGTGAACTTGAGGGAGTACTGCCAGCCGGTCCAGGAGGACCACTCGATGCCGTCGGCGTAGGAGCTGTGGTGGCCCTTGAGGTACTGCCCGTTGAGGTTGGAGGTGTGGCAGTTGCGGTACCACCAGGCGCCGTGGTAGAAAGCCGCGCAGTTGTTCTCCGAGTGGTCGTTGTCCAGGTCCTTGGTGGTGAACTTCATCCCGTTGTGCTTCAGGAAGGAGTCGCCTGCCGCCGGGGGAAAGGAGCCGTGATGGGCCCTTCCTGCCCCTCACCCTGCCCTCGAGCCGTCTCCCACCCTGGGGGGCTCCCCTGGGCACCCCAATGGGGCTCCTTCGGTGATGTACAGGGCACTTGGTGTCACCCACCCTGCAAACGCCCAACCGCAGACCCTCTCCTGCTTCCAGCTCCCCGTGGCTGCAGGGATGCAGCCGGCACTGCCACCAGCGCTGGAGGAGACGGCTTAACACCCCGGCGAGGGGATTTGGCGGCCGTGGGCTCCCCCTGCCCCATGGGACCACGTGCATCCCCCCCCCCATCCCGCCACCCTACCTGCCGTCCCCGAGTAGTCGGCGATGGAGACGGGGTACCCGTCCTCCTCGGGGTCGACGGAGAAGAGCCCCACGCCGAAGCTGCCGTAGTGGGCGAAGGCAGTGCCGTTGTCAAAGTCCTCCAGGTCGATGCGGAGCTCGTAGCTGCCCTGCACCGTCAGCACGTGGATCCGCTTCAGCCCTGCAGCAGAGGGAGGGGGTGAGTGGGGAGACCCCGGCGGCGATGGGGTGGCTGGGGGTCCCTGGGGAGGGGGCACAGGGTAGGACAAGGAGCGGTTCCCACCCTCCAGCCCTTGCTCTTATTGCCGCACGGCTGAGGGCACGTGCTTGGCTCGTGGGCAAACAGCCCCATCGCTTCCCCAACCCTGTGCAGCCACACGGTCCCCTCCCCGCCTGCCCGGGCCGTCGCTCCTAGGACGTGAGTGCTGGCCAGGGGGGGTCTCGGCGTCCCCTTCCTTTGCAAAGGAAACCCTGGACTTCTCAGGGGGGGGCTGGCAAGCCCCAGGTTTTGCCAGCCGGCCCAGGAGCGAGCACTGCTAGCCCCACGCACCTAACCAGTGCTCTCCCGTCAGCTTCCCGAAGCCATCCCGGTAGGCTTCCCAACCGCGGAAAAAGTTCACGGAGCCGTCCTCCCGCCGCTGAAACACCTGGGGAGGGAGACACGCGGGGCATCAGTCGTGGGGCTGCTCCGAGCCTGCGTGCCCCGAGCAGCACCCCCTGCTCCCCACCGTGCCGCCCACCCCTCCCTGTTGCCACCTTATTAGACACGGGCGCAAATTAAACCCTTTCAACTCAGTAATTACATGGGGACACTGGCAAGCAGGTCCCCAGGGGAAATGCCGATCATCATCTGCCAGCTCCCAGGGATGGGCGAGTCCTTTCGGATAAAATCCTTCACTGGATCCTCTGCCTGGAAATGGAAGCAGAGCTCGGGAAACCCGCGGTGTGCTCCTTTGGGAAGGTGGCCGGTGCCCTGGGAGGGGTGGCCACCCTGCACCCAGCTCAAAACAGGCCAGGCTCTGCCGTTGCACGTGGGAGCGGAGGTATGGACAGACGGACAGCGTGACTCAAGGTCTGTCCCCGCAGCACGTGCTGCCCAGGTCAGTCCAAGCCATCCTGCAAACGGCGGGATGCTCAGTACTGTGTAAAACTAAGCAGCTGATTTCCCCCACCTGGGTCCATGCTCTCTCCAGGGCAGCCACCCTGTTATCAGGCATCGTTCCTGCGATGGCCTCATTAGTCTCCCAGAGAAATTAACTGTGGGACACCAACTGCCTTGACTCCTGCAGAGCCCCTAGATCCCAGCCAGATCCCCAGGGCTCAGCATGGCTTTTCTCCTTGGAGCCTTTCCCTTTCCCTCTCCCATCTGCTTATCGGTATGTCATGCCCTGTGTGTTTCATCCCCTTTTATCCGTAGTTTCGGGTTTGATTTATTGACAATGATCCAGAAAATGCTGCTCTGTGTCCAACCATTTGAACTTAATTAAGCCTCCAGCTCTGGATTAATTGCATTAAACTTGGCTGAGCCAGCCTGCTCAACTGCCACCAAGTGCCGCGCTCCCGCGGCCACGGCGGGGGTGGATGGGGTGTTTGGTGATTTCGGAACAGCCGCCCCATGTGCCGGCAGCCAAGGGGCCAGAGCACCCTGTCTTTGGGTCCTGGCTGTGCCGCCGAGCCCATTTGCCCTGTTTCCAGCATCCCAGGCTCGGGCAACGCCTCCGAGCCCCCCCACCGGCCGGGAAGCCACCACGCTTTGCTCCACGGTGGGGATGCTCCTTCGCAGCCTCCTCCCGGCTGCTCCTGCCCATGCAGGGTTTCATCGTGGCATGCGGAGGAGACCCAGCTTGTGAACGTCACGATGGTTTGCCCTTCACCGGACCGGCATTTTTGGGACCGCTGGTGCCTGGTGCAGGCTCCGGCACGCTCCTCGGCACGGCACGGCTCTGATCCTGCTGTACTTACCTTCTAGAATTAGAGCCTTAATTTTTATCCCTGCGTTGAGCACTTGAGAAGCTGTGGTTAAGCCCGTTTAAAGGGGCTTTCTTTGGGCTTGCTGGGAAAGGGGGATGGCACAGCTGGACGGGGGCCTGAAGCTGATTTTCCCTGGCCAAAGACGGCTCCGGCGCTGCCGCATGGGGAAGGCGGCGGAAGCAGCACCGATGCTCCCTCTTAATCGGCTTTGACCCGCGGTTGTAAATAGGCCAATTGCCTGAGCGGTGCCTGGGGAAGTGAGCGGGGCACATCTCTGTTGGCTGAGCCTCGGCACGGCTCGGCAATCACCATGGGTGCCGGAGGAGCCCTCGGTGCCCCACTGCCCACCAGGCTCAACCCCAGGGGGCTGGAAACTGGGTCGGAAGCGCTGGTGGGTGCTGGAGGTCCTCTTGGGTCTCCTGCTCCATCCTCATCATCTCTCGTGCACAGTCCCTCCTCGTGCTTCACTCGTGCACCCGCTGCGTGCAGGCAGGGATGTGGGAGCCTCCTCCTTGTCCCCTGCACAGGGATGCTGCGGGCACCGGGATGCTGCATGCACCGGTGACCCACAGGCTCGCTGCCGCGCTCCCAGCCCTGCCTCACTGCTTTTTTCCTCCTCATCAAATATGCATCACCCCCTCTTAAGCAAAAAGGATTTCCTTCCCTTCTTTAAAGGCAAGGCTGAAATATTTATCTCCCCCGCTCTCTGCCTCCCCCAGTCGTGCTGAGCTCGCGGGGCAGGGACAGGCTTCTGCAAAGGCACCAACCCAGAAAAATGGGTTAAAAACAGAGAAGAGTGGGAGCGGCAGCCAGTGCCTGCTGTGGTGTTGGCGGCGAGGGAGGGTTCTGCTCCCTGTCCCCGTAGCCCCCTGATGCCAGCCCCAGTGGGCTCAAAACCGCACCACAGCCACAGCCTGGGGAGATGCTCGGCCATCGCTTTTCTGCCACCGCAGCGCTCGAGCTCCCGGTCGGGTTTTCAGCAGCCGTGGCATGGACGCCCACAGCCCCGGCCCCACGGCGTTCCTCTGAGCCCCCATCGCAGCAGGGAGATGGTCTTTGGGTTCAGCCATGGAGAAGACAAACTCGGAGCATCGCAGGAGCCAGTCTCCGGGAAGTGCCAATCCCGTGCGATAGCCTGCGAACATCGTAGCCGGCAACGCTGCTTGTCCTGGGGGCCCAGCTGCTCCTGCCTGTCCCTGCCAGCAGAATTGTCTCGTTCCCATTTGTGGCGACGCATAAGTCGCATCTTTTGGAAACAGCACGTGTTTCCCCAGGCTTGTCTCACCCGCTGCCTTCGGCTTATCCCAGCCTGTGTGTAAATGCATCCGTGTCTGCTCAAACCCCCCCAGCCCGCTCCGGGACCCTTTCGGTGGGTGATGAACAGGTTGGGCAAAGCCGTCCCCGTGAGCATCCCCGGCATGGCAGGTGCCCGCGAAGCTGGAAGCTGTCACTTAACATCCCCACAGCCCTTGTCTTGCTGGCACAGCCTTTCCTTCCGTATCCTTTGGCTTTCCCACCGCTTCCCAATACATGCTCTACGTGGAAAATGATGCTGAGGCGGACGGAGCCATCGCAGCACCGTTGCTTACGGGGCTGAGATGCTGATCCCGGGGGACTTTTCCCCGGCTGGGCAGCAATGGAGGCTCAGGGGGACTGGGAGGAGTGTGCGGCGTTTGCAAAGACTTCCCAAGACAACAGCATGTGAAGAGGCAACTTTTTCAGGCGTCCCAGGATGCTGAGCCTCCCCCACCTGCTGTCACCCCCTTATTTCTTTAATAAAGTGCCGGAGGTGAGCGTCAAAGTGGGGGGGTCACAGTCGGGCTGGGCAATTACACAGCTGCAGCCCAGCACTGCTGCGAGGCTTGGGTCAGCCCGGGGGAGTCGCTGCAATTAAAGTCGGTGCTGAGCGCAGGACGTGGATGTTCCCATTGGTGCCGGTGGGCACCGATCCGGACCTACGCTCCAGCCGGCTGCAAACGGGTGGGCAGGACCGAGGAGGGGATAAAACAGACTGGGGGTGCGTGCTGGGGGCTCCTGCACGGACGCCGACGCTGGCTGCCCTCTCTGCCAGATTTCTGCTTTTCGGCTACACAAAACAGGCAGCAAACAGTCCCAGAGATGCAACCGCTTGCGCAGCGCAGCCCCAGGCTGGATGCGGCCGTTGCGGGGAGGAGAGGACTTGGTCTGGCGAGGGCTGTGCCTCGCTCAGCCTTCCCTATGAAGGGGATGGGGAACGACCAGGGATGCTGCTTCTGGCAAGGGGACAGGGTGACACTGCAGATCGCACCGTGGGGACGGGGAGGTGGGTGACCCCGGCCAGGTTTCTCCCCGACGGGGCATCGGGGCAGCTCTTGCCCCAGCCCCGCTCCCCGTGGTCTCTAAGCCGTCCATGCAGGCTAAGGCTTAGCTCAGCAGCTCCCAAGCTCCCGAGTCAAAATTGATTCAGCTGCTGCCATCGCTTCCACCCACCCACCCACATGCAAATAAGCCCAAATGTCAGGAGTAATCGCTCCAGAGGAGGAGGAGGAGGGGAGGGAATTTTCCCAGGCTCTGCACCATGGTGCCCAGCCGTGTCATGGCTTACCTGGAGCCTGGGTGAGCCAGTGCCCCAAGGACCCCCCCACATCCCCAGCCCCACGGGAGATGGCTGAGACACCCCCTGCACCCCAAGGGACTGGAGATATGTTTGGGATCCTCTGCTGCAGAGCAGCCCTGAGAAATGTGGGCCTGGGGCAAGCACCCTCAGCCCCGCTCTGGATGCGTCCATCTCCGGAATGCCGGGATTTGGCACCCGGTTTGGCTCCTCTGCCCCAGTCGAGGCAAGGCAGAGCTGTGGTGCTGCAGGCAGCACCGTGCCAGCCCCGCTGCCAGATCCCACGGTGCTGTCGGGTGTAAAATCATTTGCTTCACCCCCTCCCCACCCCAGCCGAAGCCCTCCTGGCTGCAGCAGCTTTAAATAAGCCTCTGAGTGTCTCGCTAATCACCTTGGGCTGCTCTTCAGGCAGCACTCGAGCATGGCCGGGACTGACAGAGGCTGTGCAGACTGTGCGTGGGCTTTGCAAGGACCATCCCCACCCTGGGGAGCCAGTGGGGTCCCCCCTTTTCCTTCTGTGAGCCCCCCAGGAGTCTCAGTTCCCAAGGCTGTGCTGTGCCTCAGTTTCCGCACCGGAGCTGCTGGTACCAACCTGTGCATGACAGGTTGCTCCTGCCTGGGGTGGGCTCTGGGCAGACCGAGGCCAAAGGCTCATCAGCCCCCCAGGGGCAGGGGGGCTAAGCTCCCTCCTGGCACTGCTCAAAGCTGCTTAGGGGAATCAGATCGTGGGGATTTGTTTCCTAGAGCGCCCAGCTGGAGGGGTGCTGGCCAGCTCGGCTCACCCAGTGTGTCCTCAGGGGAGAGGCTGCCTGCCCATCCCTCCCAGGGAGCCCCCCACCATCTCCCTGGGACCCCCTCGCTGCCCCGCCGGCACCCCGAGCGATGCCCTCGTGGGTAGGGTCTGCTCGCACCCAAGGGGTCCCTGGAGCAAAGGGGGGTCTCCAGGCTTGGGGCTGCCGGTGCCGTGTCCCCCCTGCTCCCTACCGCCATTACTGTGATTACGGCGCCGTCGCAGCCACTGCGGCAAAGTGAATCGGACAGGGCAGCCAGGGAGCAAGTGAATCACCACAGCGCTGGAGGTGCCCCGGGCACCCCTGCATTAGATGAGGCAAAACATACTGGGTTTGGGGTCCATACTGAGCCCCGGCACCAGCTCACCGGGACCATGAGGATGGGTCAAAGCACAACCACTCGCCCCACAGCACAACCACAGCTACACTGTGCCCCAGCTGGGCACCAGCCCTACCGAGAAGGATGAACTCCAGCCATGGCATCCAATTCCCCACCTAAAACCACCCTCCAGCTCCAGCCAAGCTCCCCAAGCCCAGGGCAGGGCGGCTGGACTCCAGCACAGGGCTCAGGCCAGCAGTACCGCCGATGCTGCCGGCACGGGTAACGTGGACAAGCCTGTTTACTTGCTTCCCCGCAAGACTGGGCACCCTGCGCCCATGCAGACCCTATTAGCATTTATCCCCCATCCCGATGACATCCAAGTGCCGAGAGTGACATCTCCCGCCCCTGGCATCCCGGCGTGGGGACAGCCCGTGGCCGGTGGTGGCATCACCCGGTGGCCCCCAGCACCACGGCAGCTCACCGTCCAGCCGCCCCCGTCGGTTGTCATGTCGCAGTAGACCTGGAAGCCGGAGGGATAGTGTGTGGGGAAGATGGAGTAAATCCCATCCTCTTGCTGTCCATTCGCATAGATGTCAAAGCAGTCTCGGGGCCGGGAGCCTGCAGCATGGCATTGGGATGGGGTGGGATGAGAGGAAAGCTGGTTAATTAATGATCTAATTTAATGTCTTGCCATTTCTTTCTGGCGCTCAACCTTGCTGCCAGCTCTAGTTGGCGGCTCAGCGCTGCCTTGCTCTTTGCCTCCTTTCTCCTCCGATGCTCAGGGCGAGCGGTGCCTGGGGGGATGCAGCCACCATGGGGACCACCCCCCCCCCCCCAGCAGCCGGCAGGGACCGACCCCATGTCCCCTTGTGATGGCAAGGGCAGGCTGGGACCCAGCTGGGGACGAGGGAGCCGATGCCCGGAGGCAGCTGCAGGCAGAGTATGGGCACGTGTTTGCAGCCCTGGGACGGTCTTACTCAGCTTCATCTTAACCAAATGATGATGAATGTGACTGTTTATTCTGAGTCCCATGCAGCGCTGCCGTCTGCACCCGAATGAAGGCGAACGGTCGCTTCTTGCTCTGCTTTTGCCCCAGCTACGTCTGCGTGGGGAACGGGTGGCTCTACATCTCCCTCCTGCTCCATCTCCCCGTCTCCTTGCCAGCCCCCCACTGTATTAAATCCCTTCTCCAGGCTGGTTGTCTCCCCTCTTCTTAGGCAGAGACCTGCCAAGAGCAGCCCCAGGAGCATCCCTCTCCCCGGGGACCGACAGGGATGCCATCTCACCGTTGGAGCAGCCCCGGGGCCGCGCTCCCCTGGCCGGCGCTCGCTGCAGGTCGGCCTTGAGCCGGGGTCGGGCACCGCCGCGTTCCTTCTGCAGCGTGTCCAGGACGTCGCTGACGGAGCTCACCAGCCGAGCCATGTTGGTCTGGCTCTCTGAGAGTAGCTGTGGGCAGGGGACACATGAGGGGACAAGGAATTGTGGTTAAATGTGGTTAAACCCCTTCCACACCCCAGCCCCTTGATCACCCCGCCGTGAGGATGCTCTGCCCGCTCCCACGGCTCCCCAAGCACCTGCGGGCAGCAACGCTCCCAGCCAGGGTACGGGCTGGTGGGGACCAGGCGAGGACGTAAAAGCCACAGCAGATCCCATACGGCATCTCCAGTGCTTTTTGGCCTGGGGTCAGGGTCCGGATATTGCCTATTGCCACCGGGGCTGAGAAATCCCCGAACTTGGGTGCGTCGGTGCCGCCACCCCGTGGGATAAAGAACATCTCTGGGCAAGGGATGGGATCGTGGAGGCGGCAGGAATAGCTGTGTCCTGAGACAGCCGCCAGCTCTCCGCCGTCCCCCGAGGTGACCTGGACTGGGCGAGTGACACGGGGTGGCCGCGGCAAAGCAGCAGGATGGGGAGCGAAGCGAAGCAGCGGGGAATCGAGCAGCTCCGGCTGGAGGGAGATGAGCACCAAGAGGGATGGGCACGGAGCCGAGCATCCAGCTGTGCCCTGGGTCCTGCTACAATGCCCGGCAGACCCCCGGCATACCCAGGTAAGCATTTCAACACAGCTGATCAGCTGGGAAATTTGGGGGACTGTATATAAGGGGGGGCTGATTGCTGCATGAAGCGCCCTTGGGATGGTCCTGTGCTGTGCTCGGCTCTGCTCAGAGCCCCCAAACTGGTCCTGGAGCCGGGAAAGCCACATCATGGGAGGCTGCACACTCGGCTCACTAGCACCGGGGCAGTTTGGCAGCGAGACACAGGCAGCTGATGAGCTGGAGCTGAAGTTGCGCTTCCTAACCTGCAATTCCCAAGCACCCGCCTTAAACCTCAGCTCCTTCTGCTGGAGGTCTCCCCTGGACAGCGTGGGCAGAGGCTGCAAACAGCTCTGCTCCTGGGGACACGGGGACAGGGGAGATCTGTCCCCGAGGAGCACTGTGCGGCATTCCCAGCCCCAGCTCACCTGGATGAGCCTGCCCTGCTCTCCCTGCAGGGCGCTGAGCTCCTGCCCCATGGCGCTGTGCCCCTTCTTGAGGCTGTCGCAGTCGGCGCGCAGCTGCACGGCGTGCGTCAGCAGCTTGGCCACCTCGTCCGCCACCGTGACCAGCAAGGCCTTCTGCTGGCTTTTGGTAGCCTTGGCCTCGGCATCGTGGTCGGTGACGGCGCGCAGCAGGGAGGTCTGCAGCCCCTCCAGGCGCCCGAAGGTGCCCGCCGCGTCGGGGCAGTTGGGGTCGATGAAGATGTTGATGCGGGAGCTGTCGGCTTTCTCGATGGTGACCAGCGCGTTGGCTTCCTCGGGGTTGGTGCTGATGACGGGGGGTGATTCGGTGACGGGCGTGTGGTAGTGGTTCATGAAGAGGATGGCCCCTGTGACCGTCACTGCCAGGAGGACGGCCACCGAGAGCAGGACGGTGCACAGGATGTACCCGCAGCTCATCCTCTGCGGACAGAGAGACAGACACCGTCGGGACCCATCCAGACGAACCCATCCCACTCCCCTTCAACCCAGAGGTGGGTTCAAACCCTTACGGACTTTGGCGGGGGGGGAGGTCCAGCAACAAGGGAGGCGATGTTGGACATGGGGGTAGTGGCAGAGGAGGGGACATGGGGACCCCGGGGAGCCCTGCGGTTTTGCCAGGGACACGGAGGCCACGGGCGAGCGCTCAGCGAGCAAAGCAGCTAAACCCGCCTGGGAGCCAGAGGTATGAAATAATAAAGAGAGCGAACGTGTGGCAGCCGCCTGCTCCCGCTGGCGTGTTTTATTTAAGGTGGTGATACTCAGCTGGAGCAGCCCCAGCTCCCCGGGAGGTGCATGCAGGGCTCCCTGCTGCCCTGGGCACAAATATGGGGAGAAAAAAGGGAAAACACGCCCTGTGTTCCCCAGAGTGGGGACCGCGGGGAAAGCAAGGAGGCGAGGGCAGGCAGGGGCTGTCCCCAGCAGCAAGGGGAGGCTGTGGGTCGCTGCTGGGGCCCCATCACCCTGAGCATCACAGGGACCTGCTCTGCATGGGACATCTCCCAGCTAGGGGGGGGCCATGCGTCCCCGTCCCCCTTGCACCCTCGCTGCCTGCTGGAGGGGAGCAGAGCTGGTCCCAAAGCCCTCGGACCTGTCCCAGAGCCTCCCAGTGAGGGGGAGTCGCTGTGGGAAAGGTCTCCGACACCCCCTGAGCCCCTCTGGCAGCTCTGCTGCTGCAGGGACCCATCGGCTCAGCCCACGGGAGCTGCTCCGTGCGCACCAAAAGCCTCTTCTCCTTGCAAAGCGTGAAGTGCCGATGCCGACAACGCAGAGGGAGCGAGCTGCCACCCGGTCTCATCAGCCCGCCGTGCCCCCCGCCACCTCCCCTTCTCATTACACCTGCAGGACAGAGGTTGTGATTTTCCCCTGACCCCGGCCACGGCTGTCACAAGGAATTGCAGGGCTGCCAGAAAACTGCAGATTCGGAGAGACAAAGACTACTTTCCCCAGAAATGAGGAGAAAATTGCTGCATCTGCAAAGATTTCCCAGGCCCTGTCCCCTCCTGTGCACATCTATCTGGAGTGACACCTTCCTTCAAGCACCCTTCATTTCATTCACGCTCTCGCAACCATTTGCATTAAGGTGACCTCGGCTGCGGCAGGGCTGGCCGGCCAGGGACCGGGGGGCTGGGGATGCCCCACCAGCCCCAGGGGATGCTCTGGGTTTCTCCCCCAGTCCATGGAGTGAAGCTGGAGATGGAAACGGCAGTGGGCTGAATGGGAAGCCACCCTGTGGGGGGGACGACACCTCCGTAACGAGGCAGCCCCTGGCTCAGCCCCTTGGTGTGCATTAAAAGGAGATGTCAGAGGCAGTATGGGGAGCTTTCGGCAAGCAGAGGGTCGAGGAGTTTGTCCTGTGTTTGTAGACACGGAGCCCTGGTTCGGGGGCGTGAGGGGCACCCTGGAGCAGCAGGACGGTGGTAGATGGAGGTGGGAGATTCCCATCGCTGACACCCTCACGTGGACACCTGGGACCTGGGCTCGACCTGACCCCTCAGCACCCAGCGAGCGCAGAAGTGACAGGAGTGGTTTGGGATCCGCGGGATCCGTCTGTCCTGGCTATCGCAGCACCTTCAGCTCCATGGATCTGCGCCCTCCCATCCTGCACGCTGCTGGTCCCCACCACACTGATGTCCCCAGCTCAAAACGTGCCTGCTGGGACACGCAGATGGGCTGCAATGGCCGAGGGACCCATCAGCATTGAGGGTTTCAGGAGCAGAGCCGTGCACGGCCGATGCTCCGTTTCCCACAGCCACACAAATGCCAACTGGGCTTTAACACACTAAAATCCTGCAGCTCTGCCCGGGAGCTGCATCCAGCAGTTTTCCAGCCTTCGAGCCCCAACATCGCTGCCCTCCCACCAGCACTGAGAACTGGGGCAAGAACCAGGGGCCGATCCCCTTCGCAAGTGCCCCCCTCTGCTTGCGACCGCAAGATCCTGAGTGGTGGCAGCTTTACGAGTCCCACAGCATTTTGCTGGCAGGTTGTGTTACCTGGCAACCTGCAGTGGGGAGAGCAGGGAAACACTCAAGCCAGCGGCACCAGCAACGCTCCAAACTGGGGTGTGGGTCCCCCCAAGCCCCACCAGCACAGCAGCACTGCAGCTGCATGCCCAGCTCCCAGCATGCGGCCCTGCAGATGCCTCTGCTGCACGTTCCTGCCCCACCATGGCCATGGCCCTCATGACTCCAAGGGTTTCTGCTGTCCGTTGCATGGCCTTGGGCTCCTGGATCTTCTTTCCAAGGCTTTCAGGCAGAACATCCCCCTGCCTCAGTTCTTGATGTGCCCCTGGGGACATCCATCAGGCTGGAGGTCCCCGTGGCTCCAAATCACTCCTTCCTAAGGAAAGCAGAAGCTGGGAGGTGCTCGGGATGAGAAAGCTTCACTTGCAAACCTGCTCTGGAGCTGGGACTGGAGCTCGGGAGGGAGCCCCAGGCAGGAACTGAGGCAGTGTTGCCTTCCCAGTGCAAAGCTAAGCAGGGCTTTCCATGCCCTGCGCTGGCTCAGGCAGTATCTCCGTGCTTGGCCACCGTGCCCCGTGGGGGCCGGGTCCTCGGTGCCCCAGCCACGCCACGTGAGCACCCTGCGGGCTGCCCTGCACCCTGGGACTGTGGGTCCCTGCCACCCCACTGCCCATCATCTCCCCCCACCGAGCATCCCCCAGCCTCCTCTGCCAGCCGGACAGGCGAGCGGCTGTGCTGCGTGTGGGAGACAGCAGCTCCGGCACCCACAGCCTGCGGGGAGGGAAGGACACGAGCTGGCTTGTCCCCTTGGGGCAGCCGGAGCAGAGCCGGAGGTGGCCTGGCCCCTGGGGAGCACGGATGGAGGGCGATGGTGGGAGAAGCTGAGTTCTGCCATGGGAGATGCTCCTCAAGGAGGAGGTGCCCTTTGCTCCTGCCAAAGCCGCTGCTCTTTGCCAGCTCGCCAGGCAAGCTCTGCGCCGTGGGATGGTGGGCAGCGATCGCAGGCAGCCCTGGGTGCTCTCCCCCTGAGCCGTGCCCTCAGCCAGGTATGAACCAGGACTCCGGTTGTGCTTTTGAGGCAGGTGGACGCTGTGGTTTGCATTGCCCAGGCTCAACTGCTGGGGCAAACTTTAGTCCCGGTACCCCCACCTTACTGCCAGAGTCCACCCAGCCTTGAAGGAGCCCCAGGGCAGCAGGGGCCAGTCCCCT